CTTTCTCTTATTAAGTTTGATTCCACTGTGGTCAGACAATATACTTTGCATAATTTCAATTTTTAAAAATTTGTTAAAGTAAATCAATTTTTACACTTTATGTGATGTTTTGTGGCCCAGGATATGTCCATCTTGGTACAGGTGTCCCTCAGTATCCACAGGGGATTGGTTCCAGGACGCCCCTCATATTCCAAAACCTGCAGATGCTCAAGTGCCCTCTATTAAACGGCATGGTGTTTGTATTTAACCTACACATATCCTCCCATATACATTACTTATAATACCTAATACAATGTAAATCCTATGTAAATGGTTGTAAATACAATGGAAATGCTATATAAATAGTTTCTGGTGAATTCAAATTTTGCTTTTTGGAACTTTCTTTAAAAAATTTTCAATCTGCTGCTGGCTGATTCTGCAGATGGGGATTCCATGGATATGGAGGTCTTACTGTGTATGTTTCGGTGGGCACTTGAAAAGAACATGCGTTCCGCTACTGTTTGGTGGAATGTTCTGTAAATGTTGATTAGATTGTGTTGGCTGATGGTGTTGTTGAGTTGTTACTGATTTGGGGTCTAATTATTCTATACATCATTGAGAGAAGGGTGTTGATGTCTCTAACTGTTGATCTATTTCTCCTTTCAGTTCTCTTCACACCTTCTGAAGCTTTGTTATTTGATGCATACACACTGAAGATATCTATGAACTAACACATTTATCACCACCTTGTGTCTGGTAACATTCTTTGATTTGAAGTCTACCCTGCCTGATATTAATATAGCCACTCTTGCCTTTTGATTAATGCCTGCATAATGCATCTTTTTGAAAAATCATTTTATTTTTAACTTGTCTACACTGTTATGCTTGAAATTTGATTTAGACAGCATATAGGGTTTTTTTCAAATAAAGATTTTAATATATTTTCTGGCTTATTTAGATAGTATTCTTTTGGTTGCAAATAATAGAAACTGACTGTTTTGTTCTGAAGGAAGAGATGAATTATAATTAATGTACCAGATGTCTCCCAAGACCCAAGGCAATGTGCAACTGACTGGGCTTCTGGAACAGACTAGAACCAAGATGCTCTCCAGTGCCTCAATTCCTCTCCCTCTAAAAGGACCCT